TCCCCCAATGACCTTTGCTGCTGATTCTCATGCTGGCGTTGTTGTTAGGAAAGAGAATAAATATGTAGTTTGAGCGACATTTGCAAACGTGTTACGTGTCCAGCATTTCCCCAGCTCCTGGTGTAGCAGTCTTCTAGCACTCCATGGCGGAACATTTGAAGTCTTCGGCATCGGCTTTAGACTGTTCCCACACATCATGGCCAGATGGCTTACCTTGCAGTCCTCGGTCAGATAAGGATTACTGGCTGATAAGAACGTCCATACTGGCCACCAAGAGTCTATCAGGCCCCCGACGCTTGTTTCGTGATGTCATTGAGTGCTGCGAGCTTGCGACCGACATCTGCGAGAGTCTTGTTGGAATACCTTCAGAAAAGTCGTTCGACCTTCTTAACCGTGCCTCCCGGATCCAGGTTGGTGCACGTTACAGTGAAGATGCATTTTATAGTATTCACCATATTCTGACGTGTCCGTTATTGTCAAACAGAGCCTTTTGGTCGAAGACCTCTTTGAGTATGAGAGGCGCCAAAATGAGAAAGATATTGGGAGAAGCATTGCACGTCTCGAATCCGTTGTTGAACAGGTATAGAGATTACGAGCTATAACTCTTTTCCTCTTCAAATGTAATAGCTCGTGTGCTGAACGGTATGCTCTGGTTTGTCAGGAAAAGAAGGATTTGTGCGAACTTCTGGAAGCTCACAGGAAGACTGTTTCTCAAACTAGCCGCTATCGGAAATTGCAGGAGAGTCTGATCGCGCTGGAGGCCTCGGCGATTCAACTCGTGAGTGTAGCTGTTTTTACGTGTGCTAATTGCCTCTCAAATATGGTTGTTCGTTGTTCGCTGTTTTTTACTTTACTTCCTACTCACTCCGTTGTGTCCTCCGGCCAGGGTCAAGCACTGTCCGACACGTGTTCCCGTTCATTCTCGTTTTCTGATTCCAAGCCAAGCTCAGGCTCACCGTTGACCATGCCACTGCCATTACTACCTGTGGATGATTGGGATGACATATTGCCATGGCAAGCAGCCTCCATACAATCAGCATTCCCCACAGGTGCGGTGTGGAGGACAGGGTTTGTGTCTTATGCCGGGAACTTTCACTGTTCTTACATCTTTTTTATTCGTGCAGCTCTGGAGTCAGATGAAGAGACAACACTGAAACCATACTCGCACAGCATGAGCCCTATCTCCTGTTCTGGCTCATCACCCTCACTCCAGGAAAACTCATTTCGAAATCACACAGCAAGTACGTTGATTGATTTCGGGCCCACAACCATTCCACGAGAATGCTATCCTAAACCTGTAATCACGACATGCAGGCGATCTCCAGCATTGGACCTGAATACACAACTGGTGCGCTTTTCCTAGAACCGTCAGCCCCAATTGATATCTGGTGTTTGTAGCATGCATTGTGTAAGGGATGACCGATATGCGAGCAATGTATCAGGTCAATCGCAATGTTCTTTGTCGACAGTATCGCGGACATCGAACTCCAGCAGAGCGAAGTGTCCCGCCACCATTAGGGGAAACCTAGGCGAAATAGGGGAACACACAGAAACGACCAGACTCCCAAAATGAAAGTTGGGTCCACTAAAAATTGGGCAAACTGACGAAAACCCTGGCGGAGAAACACAGGAAAGAAATTCCTGTGTCCACTTCCTCCCGAGGGGTAACAGATTTGGAAAGGAAATAAACTGTCGGCACAAGGGAAACGGGAAATGGGACATTAACCAAACAGTTCCTGGTGTACGCGATAGGTGCGTCCCCGACCAAAAAAAACACGTGCTTCACCTTTACAGTGTGAGTTTAGTATGGCTTGCTGCTAGTTGTTTTGCTTTAGGACTCTTTCCACGACTTATCAGACAGTTGTTTGCAGAGCTAGACACCTGTATACCCGCCTAACTCGACGACTCGTGTGACTCAGGTTCAGCAGCGCAATGTACTCTCGAATGGCGCCGTCGATATCCGCCTATAATGTCGCGCATGCTGACGAGCTACCGCGTCAGCGGCGGAAGCGGAGGACAAAAGCGCAGATGGCGGCGGACAGGGCGATCGCGGCGGCGTTCAAGCGGAAGCGAGGGAGGCCGAGCAAGTCGGACGTGCTAGCGCGACAGGCGCTGATCATGGCGGCGCACAGCGGCATGCCCGTCACGGACCCCTCCAACATCGACGCCATTCTCGCCGCGCAGAACGCGTCGGCGCTCGTGCCCACGGCGACGGCGACGCGCGCGAGGATGACCAAGTCGCAGCTGAAGGCGCGGCGGCTCAACCAGGCGGGCGGTGACGACGGCGCGGCGGTGCAGCCCGGTTGGGTGGGGCAGAACGTGCAGGGCGTGCTGGACGGCACGTTCGACGCGGGTTACTTTGTAACCATCCGCGTTGGCAACACCAACACCATTCTGCGCGGCGTCGTGTTCGCGCCTGGCGTCGCGGCGCCCCTGCCATGGCCCGAAGACGCGGCGCCCAGGGTGCCCAAGCTGAAACGCGACGCGTCCATCACTCTCCCTGCTGCTGAAGCTTCAGCAGCACCCACGGCAACAGCGGCAGGTGCAGGCTCAGGCGATCTGGCTGCAGCTCGGCCAGCAGCGCCTGCAGCGCCGTCGCAAACCGCAGCAGCACCTGCAGGTGCAGCAGCAGGTGGAGCGTGTAACGCAGCTGTAGTGGTAGCAGCAGGGGCAGTGGCTGGGGCAGATGCTGCGGCAGCAGGAAAGAAACCGGTAACAGAGAGAGCAGTGGCAGCTGCACCTACTGATGCAGGGGCTGGGGCGTCACATGCAGCAGGGGAGGGTGGTGGAGCGGAGGGCGCACAGGAAGGGAAGGACGAGGCTGGGCCGGTGTGGGAGGTGGTGATTTGACGTCAGTGCACCCACATGCATGAGTCGAGGGCAGGCAAGGGCATAGCTAGCACTGTTACTATCACAGGCCGTGGCCGTGACGCTGGCCCTGCACTGCTGTGTAGATCGGCCCTAACACGGCAGACACAAGCCTTTTCATGTGCTCTCATGTCATGTCACGTCATGTCATCATGTGTCCTCTGTCCATAGCAAAATCGAGCTTGAGTGTTGGTAGCATCTGCTGTACATGTCATGTTTTTCCACGGTCACCATTGTCAAAGCATGAACCTTCGTCAGATGCCATCTGCCAAAGCATGCAAACAGAGAATGTGCATTCTAATCTCCCCACTCATCACGGCCTTCAGCACCACGACGTTGTGTCTAGGCTAGTTGGAGTGCCATTTTTTGTCTGTGACATGAAGAGTATCACCATATACAGTTCACAGTGGTGTGCGCACTGAAACGGAATTTATACTTGGGAACAACAAGCAGCACTGAACAGACCGACAGTCAGAAGAGCTAGCCTAGTCCTTCTAAGGCTTAAAACCAAGAGAAAAGGCAGACACGAGTTTTTGGTTCGGACACCTAAATGTGGTGGTGATGGTGTGTGGACAAGAGGGATGGAGGGAGGGCCGACAGCGGTGCTTAAAAGGCGGAGGGGAAGGCAGGGTCCAGCCCGGTTGCTGCTCCCAGTGTCGAATCCAAACCAAAGCCCTGCCACGCGCGGGTGGAGAGAGGTGAGGTAGGAAAGGAGAGGAGAGGAGAGTGGGAGGAGAGGAGAGGAGAGGAGTGGAGGAGAGGAGAAGAGAGGAGAGGAAAGTGGGAGGGGAGAGGGGGCAGAGGGACATGAGACTGATTGGTGGGAGAGTGAGTGAAGAGGAGAGGAATGAGCATGCAAGCGTGCAAGCCAGTAAGCCAGGTGGCATCCCGTGCACTCAACTCAACACAGCAGCCCTAACCCCACAGTATACCCAATGTTCTTCTCATTTTTAACCTCCCATCACCCTTTCTTGCACGCCCCTCTCATGCCCCTAGGTCCCTCTCACGCCCCTCTCATGCCCCTAGGTCCCTCTCACGCCCCTCTCATGCCCCTAGGTCCCTCTCACGCCCCTCTCACGCTCCCAGCGCCCCCTTCATGCCGCCCTCACCTCCTGCTGCAGGCGCGCCTCCTCTGCCCTTGCAGCTGCCTCTGCTGCCGCCACCCGCTCCTTGAACGTCGCTGCCATCTCCTCCGCCTGCCATCACACCACCCATCCATGCGGTGCAATGCGGTGCGGTGGGACGTGGGGCGGCATGGTGTGGTGTGGCATGGTTCAAGCGTTGAAGGACAAGGAAAGGAGCCGTAGCACGTGGGAGGGAGGGAGAGGGATGGGGGGAGGGGGGGGGGGGGGGGGGGGGGGGGGGGTGGAGAAAAGGAGAAGAAGGGAGAGCACTGGTGAGAGATGGAGGAGGAGGGATGGAAGAAAAGGGCAGAGCGGCGCTGTGAACAGAGAGCATGGCATGCAAGAGGAGCAGCGGCAGGGGGGAGCATCAACGAGCAACAGGGAGCAGCGACGAGCAGAGGGGGGCAGAGGGGAGCAGAGGGGAGCAGAGAAGGGCAGAGGGGGAGCAGGAGGCGGAGATGGGGGCGCACCTTATCGAAGACGAGCTGCGGGTTGCGCAGCATGTCGCCGGGGGTGGGCTCGAGCTTCTTGGTGGACAGACTCACCCGCCCCCGCTCGCTGTCAAAGCTCAGCACCATCACCTGCACGCAGGGGGGGGGTGGGGAGACAAGAGATACGGAGGGAAACGGGGAGGGAGGGTGCGAGATGGGGATGGGGAGGGAGGGAGCACGGAGTGCCCATGACAGGCATGCGAGGTGCATCAAGGGCGGGCTGTGCTGCACATGACACCCGCCATGGCCTCAACGAATCTCCAATGCTCCACATCGCCATGCTCACTGCACTCTCACAGCCCTGCTGTCACCTCTACAATTACACCGCCTGCGCGCACACAGGGAGCTGCTTGTTACAATCACACGGCGTGCGCGTCTTACCTTGAGCTGGTGGCCCTCGCTACAATGACAGACACCACGTGCGCACCTTGAGCTGGTGGCCCTCGCTACAATGACAGACACCACGTGCGCACCTTGAGCTGGTGGCCCTCGCTACAATGACAGACACCACGTGCGCACCTTGAGCTGGTGGCCCTCGCTACAATGACAGACACCACGTGCGCACCTTGAGCTGGTGGCCCTCGCTACAATGACAGACACCACGTGCGCACCTTGAGCTGGTCGCCCTCGCTACAGTGACAGACACCACGTGCGCACCTTGAGCTGGTGGCCCTCGCTACAATGACAGACACCACGTGCGCACCTTGAGCTGGTCGCCCTCGGCGAGCACGGACTCCACGTTGGTGACGCGGTCGTGGGAGATCTGGCTAATGTGCAGCAGCCCGTTCACCCCGCCGATCTCCACGAACGCGCCGTACGGCTTCAGCGACTGCACGCGCCCCACCACCACGTCGCCCACCTGCCGCCAATCGCGGGGGGTGGAGGGTAGTGTGGGGGGACGGGGACGGGGGAGTATGAGTGCGTGGAGGGTGGGGGACGGAAGGGCATGAGCTCGTGGGGGCACGGAGACGGGTGAGCATGGGGACGGGGGAGGATAGCGGGCGAGAAGGCACGGGGCATGGGAACGGGGTGCAACGATGCGCGCGAATGTCGCAACATGCTTTTTTTTAGGGATGGGCGCGACGTGCAGGGCCGCGTGGCAGCACGCGCGACTGGCGGCGTACCTGCAGCGACTGCGCGTGCGAGGCGGCAACGGCGCGGCGGTTGGACAGCACGAGGCGCGTGCGCTCCTCGTCGACCTCGAGGAACTTGAGCGGAATGCGCGTCCCCACCAGATCCTCCTTCGCCGCGCGCTGCCCAGCGGAATGCGGGAGGGGGAGGATGGGGATGGGAAAAGAAAGGTGCAGATGACGATCAGAGGTGCTTGGGTGTGCTGGGGGGTGAGAGGCAAACGGGAGCGCGAGGGAGGGAGACAGGGAAACCGTGAGAGAACCATTGTAATTAGAAAGAACATGACGTGGCAGAGACACGGACGTACCAGGCCGATCTGCGAGAGCGGCACGAATCCTCGCAGCCCCTCGACCTCGACGAGCAGCCCGCCGCGATTCACGGCGATGACCTGCCGGGGAGAGAGACGCATGGCGAGGCGAGACGCAGGGGCGCGAAAGGGGAAGAGAGGGACGGGGCAGACAAAAGCGGTGCGACGAGCGGATGGGTGAGGATGACTGTCGGGGACGGGAGCGAACAAATGCGACGGTACGGGTGGATTCGGCGTGAAGCGGCAACAGCGCTGGAGCCATCCGAGCCATCAATCGAGGCAACCCTAAAAGTCACCAGCAGCGCATCCCACCCGACCCCAGCCTCACGCCTTTTCTCATTCGCACCCCAGCCCCTTCAGATTGACGTCAGCATCACTCACAGTGCCCCTGACGGTGACGTCATCGGCCACGAGCTGGCGGCACCGCTCCCAGGCGAGGTCGTACTGTAGCTTCCTCAGGCTCACGATCATGCGGCCCTGCGAGTCGTCCTCATCGATAACGACAAACTCCGCCTCCATGCCCGGAACGAGCCCCGTGTCACTCATGTTCTTCAACCGGAACAGGCACGCCTCCGCCAGCGGCAGCAGCGCGGGCGCCTTTGCGCCAATGTCGATCAGCGCGCCAGCGTTGTCCGCCTTGAACACCACTCCGCGCACCTGCGGCGGCGGGCAAGCGGGGCGGCGGTGGGCAAGCGGGGGAGTAGAGGGGAGGATGAGATTACGACGTTGGAACGTGATGCGGCGCCGGATTAGGGTTGGACCACACGTGCTGCGGTACCTGCGCTAGAAGAATCTCCTAACACTTACTGCGCACCTAAACCCCAGCATACGACCCGCCATTCCGCTACGCTGCTATTTCCTTCGGTTCCCCTCCAACATAAACCCTAACACAGCCCGTGCTTCGCGTCCGCTGCGAGTACCGTCGTTGCGCGCCACTGATCGCCATTGCCGCGCCGCACCTTGTCGCCGATGTCGAAGTTGAAGTCGTACTTCTCGAGGGCCTCCTCGAACTCGAGCGCCGTGAACGCCACGCCCTCCGTCGGCTGCCGTTCCACGCGCGCGAACCGCTCCTCCGCCTCGCGCAGCAGCTCCAGCCGCGCCGTCGACGGCGGCGCGTAAGTCACGTTGCATTGTACGCGCGCGCGGGAAGGCGCGACGGCAGCGAGGCGGCTGCCAGATAGGTCGCTGCTGCTGAGAGAGTTAAGGGAAGCGGGGACGGTCGCCGCCATGCCGACGGCCGCGACCTGAAGGAGGCCCGCCATGTTGAGAATGAGCGAGCGGTAAACACGGGCTAGGTAAGGCCTCAATGCGCCACGTGTGGATGAGAAAGAAGCAGAAAGTGACACGCTGACAGCAAGACGTGGTTCCGTGGATAAGAGTGGAGGTACGAGGGGGAGAGGAGAATGAGGCGTGACTCGTTATTGAGAAACGTTTGGTGCACTAAACTGTTTCGCATTTCATCGATATTGTCGGATTCCGTGTTTATTTCGGAGTGGATGTTGAAATACCCTTGAGACTTCCACGGTCCCTGCTGATGTGGCTAAAGTGCAGCCACCGATTCATTCACACACAAGGGGCCGAACACTTCAGCTCACCGCGCTGTATCCAAGCGTAATGTTCTGAACCGTGAACTCACACAAAAATTTTGAGCCAAATGAAGTTCGAACCGAATCAATTTCCGTCGGTTGGATAGGGAACAAGAAGCTCGAGGCCGTTATGTGCGTGTGAAGCAACCCAGCCAGCATCACGGGTTGACAAATTCTGTTTCGTTGCGAAACATTGGTATTCTAGTTTTGTTGCCAAATTCTCGCACTGTTTAGTGCTGCATGGCTGCGTTGCCCTCCCCGACACGTCCGTCAACAAATCGCGCCGCCATGAATCCGTCCAATGCGCGTGCCAGATCTCCACCAATCAGGGCCCGCCGCGTGTGGGTCGCATCGTGCCTGGCTCTGGCGTGTGTCGCATGGGGCGCAGCGTTTCTCTTCCGCTTCACCCACCCCGCGCGCGGGGAGTGGGTCGCGGCGGGGGGCGGGGGTGTAGTCGCTGACGGGAATGGCTCCGACTGGCGAGGCGCGCAGGCGTGGAGGTGGTTGGGGGAAGGCTGGAAGGGAATGAAGCAGCGGATTCGTGACGCGGCGTCGCCGCTCGGGTTGCAAAATTCGTCGGCTTCTGGGGAAGGCGTATCTGTGGAGGTGGATGGATGGATGGACATGCGCGAGGCGGCGAGGTAACGAGGCGGCGCGTGTGACCCATACCACGTGTGCTTGCTTCGGACGCCATGCGCTGTGAGGTTAACCTCTTCCCCTCCTTCCCCCTCTTTCCCCCACGCCACTCCCCCGCGTCCCGCGCGCGCGGTCAGGCTGTGGGAGCAGCGCGTGGGGTGCGCGGAATTCAGGCGTAAGTACGGGCGCACCGACGGCCATGGCCACGGTGCGCAAGGTCCAGCAGCGTTCCCCCCCAACCCCAGCCTTCAGGTGATCTCCCCCTCTCTGCTGTGCCGGACATTTCGCTCTGTGCCGGACAATTCAGTTGTCAGCCAGGCGTGGCCGTTTGACGCTGATGGGGGGTCTCCCTTCATCCCATCCACTGTAGCGGCCCCCCTCCGCCCCCATCCGCGCCCTTCTGCACAGCAGCCCCTCTCCATTCAATTCAACCCCACTCGCTCTCATTCTGGCCCCTCATCTCTCCCCCTTCCCCCCTCGCACTCCCCCCACCTTGATTCTCCCCTCCACGCCCTACCTGCCCTGCCCCCACTGCCCTCCCTCTGCCGTTGCACCATCAGGACGTGAACTCGCCCGCATGTGCGTCGCTCAACCTCTCCCACGTGGTGGTACACGTGGAGCAGCCTGATTGGCTGGAGCCCACCGGGCTGGATGGCTTTCACGTGTGCACCAGATGCGGCATCACATGCCAGGTGCCATACTTTTTTATATTTCTAAAACGACTTTCGGAGTTAGTGCTTATCAGGGTCAACTCAACCCATGTGCACTGATGCTGGTCCATGCAAAACGTTGTTTCAGTACGCCGCCACTCTTCTCATTCTGACCATCCCTACCCAGCCCTGCAGTCTCTCATTCGCATCCTCCCTCCCTTCCCGCCCCTTCCCTCCCCGCCCCTCCCCTCCCCTCCCCGCCCCACCAGCTCGCCTGGAACCCCTCGCTGCTGCCCACCACCCCCCACGCGCGTCTCTTCGTGCACTCCCCTGACGCCATGCCCCTCACGCGCCTGCCCTCCGCGCCACTGCGAGTGCTGCTGCAGATGGAGGCGGACGGGGCGCTGGCGGGCGCGCAGGGGGAGGGGCGCGTGGACGTGGGCGTGGGGTATGGGGCGGGCAGCGCGGTGCAGGTGACGTATGTGGACGTGGAGCGCACTCTCAGGGCGGGCAGACAGCACCTGCTGGCCGACAGGAAGCGCCAAGTGTGTGAGTCAGCGCACGTGCGCACATGAGTGGTTGCAGGCATGGTGTCTTGCGGTGTGTGCAGGGTGGTGTGGTGTGTGGTGCTTCTCCCCCGTTCATGCATCTGCCTGCTCCGTGCACATGGACCCAGAAATCTCCCCTTCTCTCATGTGTGACTTGTCGGCTCCCTTGTTTCTCCTCCATGCCCCCTCTCCCCCTGCCTGCATGCACGCATGGCAGGACGTGCTGCTGCACCACGCCTCCTCCAACTGCGAGGTGCCGTGGCGCACGCTGCTGCTCGAGTCGCTGCTGCCGCGCCTGCCCCACCACAGCTTTGGCGCCTGCAGCAACAACATGGGCGGCAGCAACCGCGAAGCAGCGCTGTACCCTGCATGCTCACATGCGTGAGGCCTTCTATCTTCGAGCCCGTGCCACTCTCTTCCACTCCTTCCAGCCCTTCAGCCTTTTGTAAAGAAGCCCTTTTACCCGTGTCTCGAGCTTCACTCTCCCACCATCTCCCCTCCCTCTACCCATCTCACCTCTGTCCCCGCCACTCTCTCTCCCCCCCGGCGTGCAGGTACGTGGGCGATCAGCGGCAGGAGGTGGCGCACTGTGTGAAGTCGCACTACAAGTTTGACCTCGCTGTCGAGAACACGCGCGCTCCCAACTATGTCACTGAGAAGTTCTACAGCGCACTCGAAGCAGGTGACGTGGCGGTTTGATCGCTCGCTGTGCTGTGTTGCTAAACCACAAGTGCTCACCATTGGTCCCTCTTCTTTTCATCCCCCAGGGACAGTGCCGGTGTACTTTGGAGCGCCAGACATTGCCAGCTTTGCGCCGCCCGAGTCGTTCGTTGATGGGCGGCAGTTCACCTCCCACCAGGCCCTGGTGGATCACATCAATCGCCTCCACAATGACCCGGGTGAGTCATAGGCTTGTAGCCATCCCAAGATGGTGTTGTTGTGCCTATCCTTCATACATTTTCACTATGTTATCATATGCACCCCCCACAGTGTTTTGCCTATCCTTTCGACATTTTCTTTATGTTATCATACCCCCCCTCCCCCTCCTCTATTCTTACCTCTGATTCAGGCACATACCCTCTTTATGTCCCTTGTTTTTTGCCAGTTGCATACATGCATTACCATGCTTGGCGCTTGTGTGGCGTGTGGGGGAACTATTCGCATGCACGTTCACTTGGTTTCTCATCACTCCCGTGTAGATTATGCGAGCATATCAGTTCAGTATATGTTTGATGGCTTTCATGTGAAAAAAGGGCACGTAGCGTAGTTTCTATGTTGTGATGTTGAGTGTATTATGAAAACGAAGTTTTCGCTACTCTGCAATTTCACTTTCAGCTCAGACAAGAGCGTTGAGGGGGGCGAACGTGATTGGTGGCAAAGACCGAAAGGAAATGGTGATGGCGTCTCTCAGCAGGCCACACAAATCCGACGGATCGATTTCATCGCCTCGTACAGTTGTGCAATTCTGTTCTCGGATCAGATCAGACGTGGCAAGCAGACACCACCACCACCCTTGCCACTGTACAAGAAGGAGCCTGTACTGTACATGTGGACAAGTTGAATTGCACCTGCTGCGTTTCCACTGGTTTCCCTTTCTTTTTCTTTGACTAGAACAGTCCCCCCAAACCAATTTGTGAAGGTTTGTTTTGGGGAGGGTGGAGAGGAGTTGGGATTGTAAAACGGGAATCTTCGACTTCACTTTGTGAAGTACCAATTAGACATAGACGAGTTACAAATGTGGAAGTCAAAGTCCTAAGAACAAAAAACTTCGTCACGCGCCAACGGTACAGCCACTTCCACCGATCTCGTAGCTCGATTACAAACAATCGAATGTGCGGCTGTGGCGCAGCGACGATTAATGAATGCGCTTGAAGAGTGTTACCTTGACGACATTTCGCAGATAATCATCGCCCACCGTTCACCAGCTACTTCTCCCCAAATCTACATCAGCCAGTTATGTGCGATGATTCCCCAGCTCGTATCCCTATCACGACTGGCTGTCATCCTTTCGTGGTTGGCGATGCGAGGCGACCGCTGAGACCAGCTCGTGCCCGCCACCCGCAGCCAGCTATCCTCCCCCTCCGCGCCACCACCCCACTCCCCCCGCGCGAGCGCGCAACACCGCCACCAACCCACCTCCCTCCGGCCACAACAACCACCACCCGCTCCGCCTGTCCTCTTCCTCCCCCTCCCCTCGCGACAATGCCAAGTAGCACAGCAGCACAACGCACTCCAGCTTCAGCTCTCGCATCCATGGCTGCGCATTCCTGGGTTCTCCCTTCACAACTCCCATTCGGCTGTCCCTAAAGCTCCACACTGCTGTCACTGCATTGACGAGACGCTCTTCCACGATCCTTTTGCTCCTCCTCGTAGCTGTACAAGCCTACTACTGAGCTAGCTGCCCCCTTAGTGTCTTCGGAACACCGTTGATTGTCTTTTATTGACATCCATGAGCTTATAAACCAGGGGTTTGATCGCATTTCAGATACACGGTCGTCATTTATCTCGACCATTACCGCCTTAATTCTATCCACGAATGTTGAAATAAGTAACGAAACCCTGCGATCCGCGCCATGCCGATGGGCGACAGCGGAGGACTCGCTGCGCCGATGGCGCTCACTCGTGCGCTGCCGACGTGGGTGGTGGAGGTGTCGCGGCACCGCGAGCCGAGCAGAGACGCGGTGCTGGCGGCCGTCGAGCACGTCGCCGCTGAACCCGCCAGCATTCTGCTCGTCCACGTCATCACCGAGGTTCCCTGCGGACGTGAGCTTCATAATCCCCCCTCCCACGCCTCCACGCGCTTGCCCTCCCCTCCTCTGACTCTGACAGGGTTCGATTAGCCCACCTCGCGTGGTCCCTTGCCATGCCTACTCCCGCCACTTGCCCGTCTGTAGCCAACCCGTTTCGGCACGACCTCCATTGCTCGCACTCTCTTCAAAAAGTTTATACCCAGCCATCCTCACAATTCCCCCCCACTCCCCCGTCTTTCTCCCCATCCTCCTCACCCTCCGCACATCTCTGTGCGCGTGCAGGCAACCGGACGGTGGCGGCGAGCGAGGCGGAAGCGAAGGCAGCGACGGAGCACGCGAAGAAGCTCGTCGACGTGCTCCTCGAGCCGCTCCTCGCGCACGTCCGCGCCGCCAATGTGCGTCACTGGGCGGCCCCCGATGCTTTACACTCTCATGCTCGCATGTCCTCACATTCTCCAAACCATTAATTCTGACAAATCTCAACAATCACTTTGTATCCCTCGTCTCATCGCCACGCACCCGATCTTCCTCACGCCGTCCCTCGCCCTCTCATACTCCTTGTCCCTTCGCGTCCCCGCACCCGCATCAGGCGCCGTGTTCCGCGGTGGTGGAGCTCAACGACTCGCGCCACGACGGCCTCGTCGCCGCCGCCAGACGCGCAGCGGCGGATCGCGTTTACATGGGCGCAAAGAAGTGAGTATGCGGGGATCGGGGGGAAGGGGTAGGGGGAACAGGCTGGGAATCACTCAAAGAGCACGACAGCTACACGACAGGCAAGGAATGCTGAGGTGACGCAGGGCGGAGATCCACCTCGCTTGATAATTCGGCTCGCTCTCGTCGTTTTTGAGTGAACTCGTGAATCACCTTGTCGCTCTCCTTTCCCTCACTCCTCACTCCCCCCACCCTCGCCCCTCGCCGTGCGGCAGGAAGCTGCTGGGGTGGTCGGCGTCGGCCACCGTCGCGCAGTGCCAGGCGAGTCTGCCGCCCGCCTGCCGCCTCTTCATCGCGCAGGGCGGCTCGCGACTGCAGCGCCTACACGCCGCGGGGAAGGCCCACTCCGCCCACCCCATCCCCCCCCCGTTTTACACCTTCCCTTCCTCCGCCTCCGCGCCTTCCTCCGCCACGCCTCTCCCCGCTGTCCCTTCCGCTTCCCCAGCCGCCTCAGCCGCCTCCGGCCCCCGCGTGCCGCCGCGCGCCATCCCCCCCTCGTTCTCCTCCGTCTCCCTCCCCCTGCAAGCCCCCGACGCCGCGCTCCCCTCCCCCTCCTCGCTCTCCTCCACCTCCGGGCGCTTTCCCCCCTCCGCGCAGGGCCAAATGGAATCCGCGCAGCAGCAGGTGGGGGCGGCTAGAGAGGCGCCGGGGAACGCGGAAGAGAGCAGGCAAGGGGACGGGTGGGTTGCGCACGCGCGCGGGCATAGGTCAGTGTCGTGCGGGGGCGGGGAGGACGCGGACTCGGGGCTGCTGGCGCAGCAGCTGCAGGAGCTGAGCGCGCAGGCGGCGCAGGGGGGGGGCGGGGCGAGCCGGGCGGAGTTGGAGCGGCAGCTGCAGCAGGTGGTGGCGCTGCAGCAGCGCATTCAGCAGCAGCTCAGCGGCAGCCCGCTCCCCGCGCCTTACGCCGGTAGCAATGGCTCCTCGCCCAGCGCTTCCCCCACTAGCCAGGGTTCCGCGTATGGCGCACCGGGCATGGGCATGGGCGCGGGCATGGGCGGGGGCATGGGCATGGGAATGCGCGCGGGGTTGAGTCTGTCGCAGGACGGCGACTACCCCGTGTCGCCAGGGTCGCTGTCGCAAGGCCACGCCACGTCGCCCCTGGGCCCCGGGTTCAAGCCCCCCCGCTCCCCTGCTGGGGGAGCGCGCGCAGCCGTCGCGGGCAGCGGGGGCATGGCGGGCGCTGCGCCATTCGCCGTGTCCCCCGACCTGACTTCCGCCGCGTCGCAGCAGCGCCATTTCCCGCGCATGCACTCCGCGCCCACCCACTCCGCGCCCACCCACTCCGCCGCCGCCGCTGCCGTGGCGGCTGTGGCAGGCGCGCAGGGGGACGCGGGGACGGCCCCCAGCAGCACGGGCAGCTCCCCCTCCACGTCCATGGAGCGCCGCCTGCTGCCCCCCCGCCGCCCCTCCTTCGACGCGCGCGCCCTCGCCGGCCCCGCTGCAGCCGCGCCACCTTCGCCAGTGGCGGGCGCAGCAGTGGGGGGCGCAGCGGGCGCGCGGAGGGGCGGGGGGTCGCTGTCGCGCGTGCGGAGCTACGAAACGCTAATGGCGCTGAGGGAAGAGGAGGGCGAGGGGCACGGGGGAGGGGCGGAAGGCGAGGAGGGCGAGGGCGAGGAGGGCGAGGAGGGCGAGGAGGGCGAGGAGGGCTCGGAGGTGGGGCATGGGCGGTCGCTGGCGGACGAGCTGGCGGCGCTGGCGGCGGAGGATGAGGGGGGCGAGGGGGGGGAGGGGGGCGAGCGCAAGGGGTCGAGTGAGAGCTGGCGGGGGCGTGCTGTGAGCAGCAACCGCGGGGCGGGCAGTGCAGCGGGCAGCAGCTTTGGCAGCGACGCCGAGGCAGCAGCTTGGGCAGCTGGGCGCAACGGGGTACGTGCCATGTGATGTGTACCGGGGCATTGGATGGGCATGGGCGTTGGTTCTTGCCCGCTTCAACATTCCATCCCACCACACCACCATGCCTCGCATCTCCCCACTTATCCCCGTCTGCCCTCTCCCCTCTCCCACCCCACCCCTGCACGCGCCACAGACGCCCAACCCCCGCACCCCCGACAGCACGGCACCGCTGCCCCCCTCACTGGCCCTCACCCAGTCCGGCGGTCTCCCCCAGAGCGGCAGTCTGCCCCAGTCGGGCAGCATCCCGGGGTCGGGGGGGCTGCAGGCAGGCAGCAGCATCGCCAGCACCGACACCTTCCTGCCTCTCGACAGCTTCGAGTCCTCCGAAGCTTCCCAGAACCTGCAGCCGGCGCGGCAGCCGTCGCGGTTCCAGCACCTGTCGGCGATGGCGCAGCGCCACGGGCAGTCGCAGGGGCCGCTGCTGGCCGCCGCCTCGCACGGCCCGCTGCACGCGCACTCCCACGGCGCCTCCTTCGGCCGCGCCGCCTACAGCAGCGGCCAGCTCGGCGCGGGCGGCGGCGGAGCGGGCGGCGACGGGTTTGACTGCCGGCAGTTCACGGCGCAGCAGCTGGCGCGCGCCACGGGGGGGTACGCCAAGGAGAACCTTCTGGGAAGGGGGTCGTTCGGGCAGGTGTTCAAAGGCGAGATGCTGGGCTGCAAGGTGGCGGTGAAGCGCCTGGAGGGGCAGGGGTGGCAGGGGCCGGACGAGTTCCGCGTGGAGGTGGAGGTGCTGAGCCGCATGCGCCACCCCAACATCGTGCTGCTCATGGGCTGCTGCACCGACGAGATGGCTCTCGTCTACGAGTTCCTCCCGGGCGGCACGCTACAGGACAAACTGGGCCCGCCCAAGGGGTCGGCGGCGGTGCCGCTGAGCTGGGCGGACCGGCTGCGCATCGCAGCGGAGATGTCGTCGGCGCTGCTGTACCTGCACCAGAACGACCCGCCCATCGTGCACCGCGACTTAAAGCCCGACAACATCCTGCTGGACGGGCACCTGGCGAGCAAGATCGGCGACGTGGGGCTGGCACGGCTGCTGGAGGCGGACGGGGCGACCACCATGAAGGTGCGCGGCACGGCGGGGTACATCGACCCCGAGGAGGTGGAGACGTGTGAGATCAGCGTGCTCAGCGACGTGTACGCGCTGGGGCTCATCCTGCTGCAGCTGCTCACGGGGCAGAGGAGCGTCAAGGCCGTGCACCGCATGCTGGCCGAGGCCGCCACCAAGGGCCGTGCGCGCCCGGGGGACGTGGGGCCGGGCGGCGCGAGCCGGGCGGCGGTGGCGGTGGTGATGCGGTATCTGGACACGGCGGGCGGCGAGTGGCGGGCGGATCTGGTGGAGCAGGTGGTGGGCGTGGCGCTGCGCTGCGCTGAGCGGCGGCGGGCGAAGCGGCCGGAGCTGGTGGGGGAGATCCACCCGCTGCTGGTGAGAGTGGCGGCGGAGGCGGAGGCGGAGGTGAAGCAGCGCAAGCAGCAGATGGACGAGCAGTTCCTCTGCCCCATCTCCAAGGTACGCCACTGTGTCTCTAGGCCCTTTTCTTCCAAGCCGCCTAGCAGTTCCTCCTCTTCCCTCCCTCTCTGCACCTCCCCTCCACCCACCCCCCATTCACATTCCCCCCTCCCCCGCACTTGCGTCCCTCCTCTCTGCCCATCTCAGGAGGTGATGCGGGAGCCGGTGGTGGCGGCGGACGGGTTCACGTACGAGAGGGAGCACATGGAGCGGTGGATGGCGTCGTGCACGCTCTCCCCCGCCACGGGGCAGCCCCTCGCGCACTCCAGCCTCACCCCCAACAACGTCCTCAAAAACCTCATCGCCTCCCACCGCCAGCGCTGACCTCCACCCTGCCCTGCCCTGCTCTGCCCTGGTGCCCACTGCACCAGTTAATGGCACTAATCTGTTGGAATACACAAGGGCTACTCAAGAATGCATGCTCACATGGAACCACGTGCTAGAATACCCCCTCGCCTTGCGCTGCCAGTGGTGACTAGTTTTCAGGCAACTGACACCGCGCTCACATTGCCCCCACACATGCGCCCCTGCATGCCTGCTGTGCTGCGGTCTGTATGGCACTCCAGGGGTGCATCTGGCAGACATTGATCCATAACAGGATGATGACCAGTTCTTGTTAGGTATGTAGACCAACCATGTGGTTGAAACTAATAATGAGGTACTATTGTTCCTTCACAGTATGGACATGCTATTTACCCAGGTCATTTAGCGGTCTAGAACAGCTATCCCCCATACACCAGTCTTGGCGCCACCATGCCACATGCCTCCCCAGCACCACACCACATCTAGGGGTCGCAGCTGGGGGTGCCACCAGCGCGCAGCACGCCACGAGGAGAGGCGCGCCTTTGCTGTCAGCCCGCATGACTGCGTGGCGCACATGCCTCCTACGGATGGCAACAGCCGCGCATCGCGGCCTCCTCGCTGCCCTCCGCACCGCACGCAACCAATCACCTGCCTTGTGCGGATGGACAGGCCAGCGGATGCTGCCCCGGATCACCCCGCTGTCCTAGACCACGCACATCCACCCCGCTGCCCCTTCGTCGCCCGCACCCAATCTTTCGCCGTTCGCCATCCGTACCGCGATCGGCCACTTTAGTCTACTTCGTCGCATTCGTCGCCTGCTCCTTCTCCAGTCGTCGCACGGCGTCGCCGATGTCGTCGGAGCCGCCCACGGCGCGCATGGTGTAAGCGTACACGCCGCCCACAAACGCCACCAGCGCCGCGCCCACCAGCGCGTTGCGCCCGCGCACGACCTGCGGCCGAACCGGCGGTGCGGGATCCATGGCGGGCTGGCGACGGGAAAGAGGGAACGTGTGGCGAGGAGTGGATAGCGAACGGGAATAGCGGCAGATGGAGAGATGAATCGAAGTTGGGAGGAATCGAAGATGAGGAATGCGCGAGCTGGCTTGGATGGGTGTTGGGCAACAAAACCAACTCGCGAAGATGAAAATTCTCAGTTCGCAAACCTCTGGTTACAAACTTTTGCAACCGTCCTCACCCCCAATCCCATGCATCCAAAATTCGGTCTACACATTTTGCCGCTGTCAGGAATTCGTTCCGTTCCTCTCAGTTTTTCGCCCAACGCAGCCTTCGCCTATCGTAGCTTTTTCCGCTGCGTTCAGTCGATCGTTATCAGGCCAAGAACCGCCACTTGCGTGAACCCCTACGAGCGGGCGCGATGATCATACGGGTGACGTGCGAGTCGGAGGGGGGCGCGCAGTGCCCGCAGTGGGCGCTCGTGGAGCTGCAGGGCGAGCTGCGCGCCGACCTGCCCGCGCTCGCCTCCGCGCTGCCCGCCTCCGCGTTGCGCGGAAACGACGGGGGAAACGGTCTCGAGAAATCCGTGCCTGGCACCGCGGAGGGCGGCGGCGCGGGTGACTGTGACGCAGGGCGCGCGTGGGAGGAGGGGTGCACTCCAATTGGCGTGCTGACGTGCCCTCGCCAGGTGGGAAGGGGAGGTAGGCGCGTGAGGTAGAGCAAGGGGTGGATGGGCGCGGATGGGAAGCAGGAGGGCGGATGTGGGGAGATGTGGCAGGGTGTGGTGTGCTGTTGTTGGTGGCATGGTATGGCGTGGTATGGGGCGATACGAGGTGATATGGCGTGTGGTGGACGCTAGAGTATGGCTGTCTTTTGTTCGTGGCGGGGCGGGTAGCATAAGAGGGTGTGGGGCAAGGCATGTCACCTCTGCCTCTCACGGCGCACTGCCTGTCTTGCATGCATGCCTGTGTGCCCGTGTGTCTGTGTGACACAGGGCGCAGTGCGGTTAACAGTGGGGCACCACCAGTTGGAGGGCGCCATGGCAACACTGCCCAAGCCGCTCGTGCTGCTGCGCAAGACAGCCACGCCACTGCCACCACATCGGGGGCAGAGAGCGGCAACAATGGCTGAGGCAGAGAGAGGGGCAGGAGGCGTGCGGGTGGGGGCGGAGGGGATGGATGTGGAGGGTGGGAGGCAGGAGGGCGGGGATGGTGAGGGCGCAGCAGGGCAGGGGGGTGCGGGAGGGGGAGGGGAGAAGGAGGCGAGTGTGGGGTACAGAGTGGAGGGGGTGATTCGCTGCAAGCTCATCTTCAAGACTCGCCCCAAACTCGTTCTCGCGGGCGCTCGATAGGGCAAAGTGGGTGGGTGCAAGACGAGCAACACAGGCCTAGAGGGACATGTGGTTAGTCAGAGAAAAGCATTGTTGAAATGTGGCTCCTGAAACACTTTCTGGGCTCATAAGAATAGGTACGGTACATGGGAATCAGTGCAGGTGTCATTATGATGTGTGCCCCGATCTGCCCTCGCATGAACACAAGGGGTGGCTTCGGAGGCCGCAAGATGTGCGGCAGTGAGTGCCTGGGTGGGTGCTCACAAGGGATGCTGTGGTGTGCAGTGAGGTGCAGTGAGGTGCAAGGAGCACGGGGTGGGAGGGGCTATTGCAGGCCGTGCTTGGAGAGATACTCCTTGGCTTCCACTATGTCCTGCACACCGCATGCATGCATGCATCCCGCACACATGCATGGCAGCGCACCCAATACACCACTCAACCCAGCACACACACATCCCGGAACACATGCATGCCATGCCACCACACATGCGTACATGTTAAGAGGGTGAGCAACCATGCAGGCATGTGGGAAGCACTCAGATGTAAGCAGTAGCAGCAGTCGGTATCGATATGAGCATGACGCCCTTACGCCCCTCCCTCCCACCGCACGTGTGCTGATTCCAAAGCACTGAGGTCGCCCTGCCATCCTTGTCACTGTGCGCCATCCCCTCATGTCCCTGCCATTGCCCATACACCACCAGTCCTGCTACACAACAGCCCCCACCACAATCACTACACTGCAGCCACACAACAGCCCTCGCTACAGTCACACCCGCCAAAGTCACCTGGCGCAGCAGCGCGCCCTCGTGCGGGCAGGTGGGGAAGCGCATGAGCCCGTACCCCAGCGCGCCCACCGCGTAGCACCCCAGCGTCACAAACGCGTACACCGGCAGCTGCGCCGCGCGCGAGGACGCAGGGGATGCGCGTGAGGTCAGATGCCCCGAGAAACACGGAGATAGAGGGGCGGGAGTGGGAGAGAGAGGGGGGGGGGGGGGGGGGGGAGTTGGGGAGATGAGAAGATGGGTGGGATTGGCGGGAGCGGATGGGAAAGACAAAAGTGGGCGGCGAGTGTGACGAGAAGGGCGGAGGCATGTGGTGCGGCGGGGATGCGGGGAGCGGGGTGGCGTCGTACGATGAGGAGGACTTGGTTCACGGCGGGCGGGAACTGCTGCGCCAGGAGCAGCGCCCACAGGCCCCCCAGCGACACCGCCACCGCCACGATCTCCTGAAACGTGCCGCCCGTCTTCATGCTGCGCGCCGATGCGTGCTCCCCCCGTGCAAGAGGACGCAGCCCGCGAGGAGACGCGGCCCGAACGATGCGGCAGATGGAACCAGCACAAAACGCTGAAAATTCGGTTCCCGGCAATCCGAGATTCGCAGGAGCACGAGAAAGTGGCGCGATGGGACACACACTCGGACCGTCGCCTAAAGGTTGCCTGTTGTGGTGGTGCTTTATGCTTGGAAGAGTCACCAGACAGAATTGACGAGCAACTATAGTAGTTACCGCGACACGATAACATTCCTCCTACCCGAGCTTGGTTCGCTGTGAGCAAGCCCAGAATTGAGACCCTGGTTTCCGGCTGTATACAGAAAACTGCTAAACTGACTTAGATATTACAAAGGCCGATATAAAACACAAATCTGTTTACCACCTTATGATACAACATAGAGGGATCGACTAAATTTACAGATAACCGTTTGTACTTTTTTGTCACTATTATTAATGGCAAGGAAAATAAGAGTGTCGGTAGAAACCATTGATTTAAATAATCGATTGAAAAAACCAATTCTAGATAAATTGCTGAGGATATACACTATGGTATAGTTGCAATTAATTGGATATATGAATGTCAGAATATGGTAGGATGCATATATCATGTTCTGTAACACGAAGGCGCAGGTGTTGGGTGCTGGTTCAAAGCCGAGGTTGTGAGAACGAGGGTGGTCGCTGGTGCTTTGTTTCTGCTCCTCGCCTCGCTATCTGTGTTTTGCAAACAAACCCCAGGGCATCTCACTCACGCTAGGGTCTCAGGCCGCTAAGGGTTTATTCCTGGGTTGATGTGCGATAGTAGTAGATTATAGACATCGCGCCGTTGCTTGCTGCTAATGGTACGTCTGATTCTTTCCGTGTCGGTACGTCTGCATGCTGCAAAAGTTCTGGAATTGATGTCGTGGTGCTCGTGTCTCTCGCCTCGCGCCTTTGGCGGCTCGTTTCTGATGCGCAGGCGTTAATCCTGTTGTTCGAGTCGTCGTCAGGCTACGGCCTGTTCGAAGTCAAGGCGCTGGACGAGTTGGCGCAGAGCTCGGACGCTGTCCAGGCGTCCGTGGCGGATCTCACTCGCTTCAGCCAGGTCGTCAATCTCTCCGCATTCAAACCCTTCAGCTCAGCGGCAGACGCGCTCGAGCAATGCAACGCCGTCTCTGAAGGTACGCTCTTCGTTCTCCGTCCCATCCTCCCCATGCGCATGCCTTTCCGTTCGACGCTCTCCGCTAATGCTGTCCGCGCAGACCGTCTTAGCGCACGGGGAATGTCCTTCGGGTGCGTGGTGCTTGTGGCGGCGTGCCGACGGTGCTCACGCTGTTGCTTGTACGGCGCGGCTGTGCTGGTGGTGCATGGCAGGGCTGCTGACCCCGGAGCTGCAGAGCTTCCTGGAGATGAATCTGCCCAAGGCCAAGGCCAAGGCGGGCAAGAAGCCGTCGTACCAGCTGGGCGTGTCGGAGTCGAAGCTGGGCTCCGCCATTCAGGAGACGGCGGGCGTGCCGTGCGTCAGCAACGACCTCGTCATGGAGCTCATGCGCGGCGTGCGGCTGCACTTCGCGCGGTTCGTGAAGGAGCTGAAGGAGGGCGACGTGGCGAAGGCGCAGCTGGGGTTGGGGCACAGCTACAGTCGCAGCAAGGTGAAGTTCAACGTGAACCGCGTGGACAACATGATCATCCAGGCCATCTCGCTGCTCGACACGCTCGACAAAGACGTCAACACCTTCTGCATGCGCGTCAGGTGACCGCCCAGTTCCACCCCCCCGCTCGCCCCTTGCGCATTTGCCGTGCAGTTGCAGCGTCTTTGGCTGGTGGTGCTTGTTTGAGCCACGCGAGGCGCGGAGCGCCCAAAACCCCGGAACCCTGAGACGTTTTTCTCGCGTCAATTCCTCCTGAAGCCCCTCTCGTCGCGTGTGTGTGCCCGCTCACGTGTGTCTGTGTGTCTCCGTGGGTGCGTGGTGGCGCAGGGAGTGGTACTCGTGGCACTTCCCCGAGCTGGCGCGCATCGTGACGGACAACTACACGTACGCGCGCGTGGCGCGGCGCGTGCGGGACAAGGCGACGTTGACGGAGGAGGCGGTGGCGGAGTTGACGGAGATCATCGGCGACGAGGATAAGGCCAAGGAGGTGCTCGACGCCGCCAAGGCCAGCATGGGTCCGTGCAGGGGAGGGGGCGGGGGGGGAAGGGGGGAGGGAGGGGGGGCGCTGAAAGGGAGGGATGTTCTGCTGCGGTATGGGGGCAGGGCAAGGGGGGCACGCGGGGAATTGCGGCGAGAGATGGGGCGCGGTAGCAGAGAAACGAGGGGGACGCAGAGGCAGCAGCGGCCGGAGTGTAGGGGAAGTGCGGGCAGGGGTTTAGGCAGTGGTGTTGGTGTGAGAGCGTGCGGGGGTTGGGCGGCCATGCGACATTCGTTGCATTCGTGTTCGAGCTCCAGGTTTCTCGCTTTCCGTACTCCCCTCGCCCCCTCGGCGGTTCACCCGCCCCGGGCTTTCACCACCCATCCATGCCGCTCCCTTCCTCCCCACCCCAATAACACGGCCCTTCCCGCACTCTCTCAGCCTCTCCCACCCTCCGCACTTCTTTGCCCCCGCGCTCCCTCCCCCCCCTCAACTACCGCCCACAGGCCAGGACATCTCACCGATCGACCTGATCAACATAGAGGCGTTCGCGTCGCGCGTGGTGGCGCTGGTGGAGTACCGGCGCGACCTGCACTCGTACCTGACGGCCAAGATGCACGACGTGGCGCCCAACCTCGCCGCGCTCATCGGCGAGATGGTGGGCGCGCGCCTCATCTCGCACGCGGGCAGCCTCACGAACCTCGCCAAGTACCCCGCCAGCACCGTGCAGATCCTCGGCGCCGAGAAGGCCCTCTTCAGGTACGCGCCCGCCCCGCATGCACCAGGCAGGCACCCCCTTGGTAAAGCGCTCAATGTTTCCTCACATGTTCCCTTCTCTACCATAATTTTCCTCCCACACAACGCTCCCCCTCTCCTTCCCTCCGCCCCCCCATCCCTCATTCCACACTCCAATCCTGATCCGAAAGTATATCCTCCCCCTCCCCCCTTGGGCAGGGCGCTGAAGACGAAGGGCAACACGCCCAAGTACGGGCTGATCTTCCACTCGTCCTTCATCGGGCGTGCGTCCGCCAAGAACAAGGGGCGCATCAGCCGCTACCTCGCCAACAAGTGCTCCATGGCCTCGCGCATCGACTGCTTCTCAGGTGCCCCCCACCCCACACATTCTCTTTGGCTGTACCCCTGCTCTTGACCTTCTTGTCAGCTAGTCCACTGCTCTGGCCATCCACCAACTCATCTCTCCCTCTCTCACTCCCCCCCTCCCCCCCCCCCCCCACCCCTCTCCCCTGTGCCACGGTTGCTGTACGCGCAGAGGTGAGCACGAGTGTGTTTGGGGAGAAGTTGAAGCAGCAGGTGGAGGACCGCCTCGAGTTCTACGACAAGGGCGTGGCGCCCAAGCGCAACCTGGACGTCATGAAGGCCGCCATCTCCGCCGCCAAGGCCGAGGCAGAGGCCGATGCTGATGTCGGCTCCAAGCGCCCTGCAGGTAACCTCCTGGGTGTGTGACGTGTCCACACGGTGAGAGGGTGGTTGCTGGGCAACAGGTGACGATCCCAGTGCAGCACGTTGTCACCTCACCCCCTGCCTTGCCTTGTCTTGGTTTGCTCAACCCGTCCTTGCATTCTTGTCCTCTTGTGCTCGTGTGGCTGGTGGTGATGGCAGAAGGAGAGGCTGCAGCAGGCGGGGCGGCAGAGGGGACACCAAAGAAGAAGAAGAAAAAGGCAGCAGCAGAGGCGGATGGGGAGACGCCAGGCAGTGGCAAGAAGAGCAAGAAGAAGGTGAAGGATGAGGCTGCAGGGGAGGCAGCAGCCAGTGCTGAGAAACCAAAGAAGAAAAAGAAGGCCGCTGCCACATAGCCTTGGGGAGATTTTTTGAATAACCAAATACCGGTAGCCATTAGGAAGCTCATGGATAGCACACATTTTGGACTTACCCGAATTGTATTATGCTTTTTTTCACACCGTGTTAGGCAGTCAATTACGAGTTCACCGCTCCACACAAGTATACCCTTGATCATAAAAGAGCAAGAGAGGAAAAGTTGGTTACTCCTTGTAACTCTGAGCCTCCTGCGTCTGTTCCGCGCGCCGCCATTTTCATCGAGTGTTCACCCTCCGTTCAAGCTCCTCCTCCACCGCTCGTACAAGCACGCAAATTCTTCACGTACGCTCTTCTGCTCCGCCGCTTCTCCGTCTGCGCCTCTCCGCGTACCGACTCACAACAATGCGTTCATTCATAGAGACCTCGAGCCGCTAATGCCCGGGCGACAATGCGCTTCCACGTCACACCGCGTAAGCGTCTCATGAAACGACCTCATTGATCACAGCAGTCAGCCTCGCTCCTTCTCTTCCCCCCATCGTCTTCGCCTTCCACCGCATCCCGCAAGCGTCACCCTGCCACCCCAATTCCTGCCACCCACACTGCGACCCCTCTCCCTGCGACCCCTCTCCCCGCAACCCTTCTCCCTGCGACCTCTCCAGGCGACTTCTACCCGCATCGATCCACCACCGCCACTGGCGCGCCCGCTGCCGCCGGGGCAGCCGCCGAGCCCCGCCCCTGGTTGAGGTACGACCCCATGCGCGCGCCCGCTTTGCTCCACACCCGTGCGCATATGCTCCCCCCTTAACGACCCTCCTCTACGTGCGCGCGTGCCCGACCCCTCTGGCAGTGCGGCGTGCGCGTGGGTGGCGCCGTTCGCCCTGGGCGCCGTGCTGGGCGCCGTGGCGTGCTCGCTGCTGCTGCTGCCCCTCGCACTCACGCCGCTGGACGCGCAGGGAGGGGACGAGGGGCTCCTGCTGCAATCACACGCGGACACGTGGCAGGAGGGGCAAGGGGCGTGGCAGGGGGGAGCGGCAGCATCGTTCGACCAGCCTGTGGTGCCCCGCCCGCCCGCCTCTGCTGCGAGCGGCGCACTGCCCTTGGCGCCCCTCGCTGCCCTTGACTCCAGCAGTGCACCTGCCAGTGGTGGTGCTGCGGGTGAGAGCGATGGTGACACGGAGGGAGCAGAGGCATGGGCGGGAGATGCTGCCATGCCTGATCTGCAAGGCAGGTGGGTGCGACGCAAGGCAGGTTGGTGTGACGTACACCTGCTACCCACACGCGCCTCTCGTGCCCTCGCCCACTCGCGTAACCTCCTGGCCCTGCACGCTCTTCCCCTCCACTCCACCCATTCCCTCAACGCCCATCCATAGCTGTATGTGTGCGGCACCCAGCAGGCACCATGCACGCTGTAGCACGCCTCACATGCTTCCCCTCTCTCGTCGCCCTGCCCATGTGCATGTGTGCGCCCCCTGGCAGGCACCCAGCAGTGCGGGCGCTGGTGGAGGCGAACGGGCAGGTGATGCGGCAGCAGCAGCAGGCAGTGGCGCTGGCAGAGGAGGACGAGAGGGGCATGCACGCCGTGCTCACTGCCGCCCTGCAGGTGATGCTGGGCCGGGCGGAGGCAGGGCACTGGGATAGATTTTGAGTCGCTCCATGTCGATTTTGCCTCGCCTCAACTCACAGATTCTTGTTTCAGGGATGAAATGGGAATGGTGGCTGTTTTCAGGAAGCTGTGCAGGAGATGAAAGGGGGGGAGGGCAGGGGGATGGGTGGGGGATGATGCGTGGCAGGAGCGGTGCACTTGAGTTATTTCGTTCCCATCACCAACTTGTCTCTCGCTCTCTGCTGCTGCCTTGCTCCAGGAGCTGGAGAGGGAGCGATTCATGCCACATGGCACCGTGTCATTGGTGCAGCCGGAATCCCTGGCGGCGCTGGCAGAGGCAGTGAGGGCGAGGCAGGAGGAGGCAAACAAGGCAGGCGTGGAGGGGCAGGCAGCAGCCGGCGCATTGCAGGCAGCAGAGCAGGCGGTGCTTGGTGCAGTGGCAGCGGGGGGAGGGCAGACGGCGGACTTCTCGTCCCTTGTCAGCGAGGCACAGGCGGCTGGGCGCGTGGGGCGCATGGGGCATGATGCAGTGGGGGCGAGTGCGGGAGAAGGAGAGGGCGAGGGTGCAGCGGATGGGGAGATATGGGGCGGTGGGAGGGAGGGGGTGAGGCGGTGCATGGTGCTGCAGTGTGCGGTGGAGGCACAGCAGCAGGCAGTTGCTGCAGGTACGTTGAGGGTGACAACACACAGGGCGGGCAGGGCTGGCTTGGGGGATGGACGTGGGAAAGCACGGCAGAAGGAAGGGTGGCATGTGCGTGTGGCAGTGGTGGCATGTGCGTGTGGCAGTGGTGGCATGTGCGTGTGGCAGTGGTGGCATGTGCGTGTGGCAGTGGTGGCATGTGCGTGTGGCAGTGGTGGCATGTGCGTGTGGCAGTGGTGGCATGTGCGTGTGGCAGTGGTGGCATGTGCGTGTGGCAGTGGTGGCATGTGCGTGTGGCAGTGGTGGCATGTGCGTGTGGCAGTGGTGGCATGTGCGTGTGGCAGTGGTGGCATGTGCGTGTGGCAGTGGTGGCATGTGCGTGTGGCAGTGGTGGCATGTGCGTGTGGCAGTGGTGGCATGTGCGTGTGGCAGTGGTGGCATGTGCGTGTGGCAGTGGTGGCATGTGCGTGTGGCAGTGGTGGCATGTGCGTGTGGCAGTGGTGGCATGTGCGTGTGGCAGTGGTGGCATGTGCGTGTGGCAGTGGTGGCATGTGCGTGTGGCAGTGGTGGCATTGTGCGTGTGGCAGTGGTGGCATGTGCGTGTGGCAGTGGTGGCATGTGCGTGTGGCAGTGGTGGCATGTGCGTGTGGCAGTGGTGGCATGTGCGTGTGGCAGTGGTGGCATGTGCGTGTGGCAGTGGTGGCATGTGCGTGTGGCAGTGGTGGCATGTGCGTGTGGCAGTGGTGGCATGTGCGTGTGGCAGTGGTGGCATGTGCGTGTGGCAGTGGTGGCATGTGCGTGTGGCAGTGGTGGCATGTGCGTGTGGCAGTGGTGGCATGTGCGTGTGGCAGTGGTGGCATGTGCGTGTGGCAGTGGTGGCATGTGCGTGTGGCAGTGGTGGCATGTGCGTGTGGCAGTGGTGGCATGTGCGTGTGGCAGTGGTGGCATGTGCGTGTGGCAGTGGTGGCATGTGCGTGTGGCAGTGGTGGCATGTGCGTGTGGCAGTGGTGGCATGTGCGTGTGGCAGTGGTGGCATGTGCGTGTGGCAGTGGTGGCATGTGCGTGTGGCAGTGGTGGCATGTGCGTGTGGCAGTGGTGGCATGTGCGTGTGGCAGTGGTGGCATGTGCGTGTGGCAGTGGTGGCATGTGCGTGTGGCAGTGGTGGCATGTGCGTGTGGCAGTGGTTGGCATGTGCGTGTGGCAGTGGTGGCATGTGCGTGTGGCAGTGGTGGCATGTGCGTGTGGCAGTGGTGGCATGTGCGTGTGGCAGTGGTGGCATGTGCGTGTGGCAGTGGTGGCATGTGCGTGTGGCAGTGGTGGCATGTGCGTGTGGCAGTGGTGGCATGTGCGTGTGGCAGTGGTGGCATGTGCGTGTGGCAGTGGTGGCATGTGCGTGTGGCAGTGGTGGCATGTGCGTGTGGCAGTGGTGGCATGTGCGTGTGGCAGTGGTGGCATGTGCGTGTGGCAGTGGTGGCATGTGCGTGTGGCAGTGGTGGCATGTGCGTGTGGCAGTGGTGGCATGTGCGTGTGGCAGTGGTGGCATGTGCGTGTGGCAGTGGTGGCATGTGCGTGTGGCAGTGGTGGCATGTGCGTGTGGCAGTGGTGGCATGTGCGTGTGGCAGTGGTGGCATGTGCGTGTGGCAGTGGTGGCATGTGCGTGTGGCAGTGGTGGCATGTGCGTGTGGCAGTGGTGGCATGTGCGTGTGGCAGTGGTGGCATGTGCGTGTGGCAGTGGTGGCATGTGCGTGTGGCAGTGGTGGCATGTGCGTGTGGCAGTGGTGGCATGTGCGTGTGGCAGTGGTGGCATGTGCGTGTGGCAGTGGTGGCATGTGCGTGTGGCAGTGGTGGCATGTGCGTGTGGCAGTGGTGGCATGTGCGTGTGGCAGTGGTGGCATGTGCGTGTGGCAGTGGTGGCATGTGCGTGTGGCAGTGGTGGCATGTGCGTGTGGCAGTGGTGGCATGTGCGTGTGGCAGTGGTGGCATGTGCGTGTGGCAGTGGTGGCATGTGCGTGTGGCAGTGGTGGCATGTGCGTGTGGCAGTGGTGGCATGTGCGTGTGGCAGTGGTGGCATGTGCGTGTGGCAGTGGTGGCATGTGCGTGTGGCAGTGGTGGCATGTGCGTGTGGCAGTGGTGGCATGTGCGTGTGGCAGTGGTGGCATGTGCGTGTGGCAGTGGTGGCATGTGCGTGTGGCAGTGGTGGCATGTGCGTGTGGCAGTGGTGGCATGTGCGTGTGGCAGTGGTGGCATGTGCGTGTGGCAGTGGTGGCATGTGCGTGTGGCAGTGGTGGCATGTGCGTGTGCAGTGGTGGCATGTGCGTGTGGCAGTGGTGGCATGTGCGTGTGGCAGTGGTGGCATGTGCGTGTGGCAGTGGTGGCATGTGCGTGTGGCAGTGGTGGCATGTGCGTGTGGCAGTGGTGGCATGTGCGTGTGGCAGTGGTGGCATGTGCGTGTGGCAGTGGTGGCATGTGCGTGTGGCAGTGGTGGCATGTGCGTGTGGCAGTGGTGGCATGTGCGTGTGGCAGTGGTGGCATGTGCGTGTGGCAGTGGTGGCATGTGCGTGTGGCAGTGGTGGCATGTGCGTGTGGCAGTGGTGGCATGTGCGTGTGGCAGTGGTGGCATGTGCGTGTGGCAGTGGTGGCATGTGCGTGTGGCAGTGGTGGCATGTGCGTGTGGCAGTGGTGGCATGTGCGTGTGGCAGTGGTGGCATGTGCGTGTGGCAGTGGTGGCATGTGCGTGTGGCAGTGGTGGCATGTGCGTGTGGCAGTGGTGGCATGTGCGTGTGGCAGTGGTGGCATGTGCGTGTGGCAGTGGTGGCATGTGCGTGTGGCAGTGGTGGCATGTGCGTGTGGCAGTGGTGGCATGTGCGTGTGGCAGTGGTGGCATGTGCGTGTGGCAGTGGTGGCATGTGCGTGTGGCAGTGGTGGCATGTGCGTGTGGCAGTGGTGGCATGTGCGTGTGGCAGTGGTGGCATGTGCGTGTGGCAGTGGTGGCAGTGGTGGCAGTGGTGGCATGTGCGTGTGGCAGTGGTGGCATGTGCGTGTGGCAGTGGTGGCATGTGCGTGTGGCAGTGTGGCAGTGGTGGCATGTGCGTGTGGCAGTGGTGGCATGTGCGTGTGGCAGTGGTGGCATGTGCGTGTGGCAGTGGTGGCATGTGCGTGTGGCAGTGGTTGCATGTGCGTGTGGCAGTGGTGGCATGTGCGTGTGCAGTGGGGCATGTGCGTGTGGCAGTGGTGGCATGTGCGTGTGGCAGTGGTGGCATGTGCGTGTGGCAGTGGTGGCATGTGCGTGTGGCAGTGGTGGCATGTGCGTGTGGCAGTGGTGGCATGTGCGTGTGGCAGTGGTGGCATGTGCGTGTGGCAGTGGTGGCATGTGCGTGTGGCAGTGGTGGCATGTGCGTGTGGCAGTGGTGGCATGTGCGTGTGGCAGTGGTGGCATGTGCGTGTGGCAGTGGTGGCATGTGCGTGTGGCAGTGGTGGCATGTGCGTGTGGCAGTGGTGGCATGTGCGTGTGGCAGTGGTGGCATGTGCGTGTGGCAGTGTGGCATGTGCGTGTGGCAGTGGTGGCATGTGCGTGTGGCAGTGGTGGCATGTGCGTGTGGCAGTGGTGGCATGTGCGTGTGGCAGTGGTGGCATGTGCGTGTGGCAGTGGTGGCATGTGCGTGTGGCAGTGGTGGCATGTGCGTGTGGCAGTGGTGGCATGTGCGTGTGGCAGTGGTGGCATGTGCGTGTGGCAGTGGTGGCATGTGCGTGTGGCAGTGGTGGCATGTGCGTGTGGCAGTGGTGGCATGTGCGTGTGGCAGTGGTGGCATGTGCGTGTGGCAGTGGTGGCATGTGCGTGTGGCAGTGGTGGCATGTGCGTGTGGCAGTGTTGGCATGTGCGTGTGGCAGTGGTGGCATGTGCGTGTGGCAGTGGTGGCATGTGCGTGTGGCAGTGGTGGCATGTGCGTGTGGCAGTGGTGGCATGTGCGTGTGGCAGTGGTGGCATGTGCGTGTGGCAGTGGTGGCATGTGCGTGTGGCAGTGGTGGCATGTGCGTGTGGCAGTGGTGGCATGTGCGTGTGGCAGTGGTGGCATGTGCGTGTGGCAGTGGTGGCATGTGCGTGTGGCAGTGGTGGCATGTGCGTGTGGCAGTGGTGGCATGTGCGTGTGGCAGTGGTGGCATGTGCGTGTGGCAGTGGTGGCATGTGCGTGTGGCAGTGGTGGCATGTTGCGTGTGGCAGTGGTGGCATGTGCGTGTGGCAGTGGTGGCATGTGCGTGTGGCAGTGGTGGCATGTGCGTGTGGCAGTGGTGGCATGTGCGTGTGGCAGTGGTGGCATGTGCGTGTGGCAGTGGTGGCATGTGCGTGTGGCAGTGGTGGCATGTGCGTGTGGCAGTGGTGGCATGTGCGTGTGGCAGTGGTGGCATGTGCGTGTGGCAGTGGTGGCATGTGCGTGTGGCAGTGGTGGCATGTGCGTGTGGCAGTGGTGGCATGTGCGTGTGGCAGTGGTGGCATGTGCGTGTGGCAGTGGTGGCATGTGCGTGTGGCAGTGGTGGCATGTGCGTGTGGCAGTGGTGGCATGTGCGTGTGGCAGTGGTGGCATGTGCGTGTGGCAGTGGTGGCATGTGCGTGTGGCAGTGGTGGCATGTGCGTGTGGCAGTGGTGGCATGTGCGTGTGGCAGTGGTGGCATGTGCGTGTGGCAGTGGTGGCATGTGCGTGTGGCAGTGGTGGCATGTGCGTGTGGCAGTGGTGGCATGTGCGTGTGGCAGTGGTGGCATGTGCGTGTGGCAGTGGTGGCTATGTGGCGTGTGGGCAGTGGTGGCATGTGCGTGTGGCAGTGGTGGCATGTGCGTGTGGCAGTGGTGGCATGTGCGTGTGGCAGTGGTGGCATGTGCGTGTGGCAGTGGTGGCATGTGCTGTGTGGCAGTGGTGGCATGTGCGTGTGGCAGTGGTGGCATGTGCGGTGTGGCAGTGGTGGCATGTGCGTGTGGCAGTGGTGGCATGTGCGTGTGGCAGTGGTGGCATGTGCGTGTGGCAGTGGTGGCATGTGCGTGTGGCAGTGGTGGCATGTGCGTGTGGCAGTGGTGGCATGTGCGTGTGGCAGTGGTGGCATGTGCGTGTGGCAGTGGTGGCATGTGCGTGTGGCAGTGGTGGCATGTGCGTGTGGCAGTGGTGGCATGTGCGTGTGGCAGTGGTGGCATGTGCGTGTGGCAGTGGTGGCATGTGCGTGTGCAGTGTGGCATGTGGTGGCATGGTGGCAGTGGGTGGCAGTGGTGGCATGTGCGTGTGCAGTGGTGGCATGTGCGTGTGGCAGTGGTGGCATGTGCGTGTGGCAGTGGTGGCATGTGCGTGTGGCAGTGGTGGCATGTGCGTGTGGCAGTGGTGGCATGTGCGTGTGGCAGTGGTGGCATGTGCGTGTGGCAGTGGTGGCATGTGCGTGTGGCAGTGGTGGCATGTGCGTGTGGCAGTGGTGGCATGTGCGTGTGGCAGTGGTGGCATGTGCGTTGTGGCAGTGGTGGCATGTGCGTGTGGCAGTGGTGGCATGTGCGTGTGGCAGTGGTGGCATGTGCGTGTGGCAGTGGTGGCATGTGCGTGTGGCAGTGGTGGCATGTGCGTGTGGCAGTGGTGGCATGTGCGTGTGGCAGTGGTGGCATGTGCGTGTGGCAGTGGTGGCATGTGCGTGTGGCAGTGGTGGCATGTGCGTGTGGCAGTGGTGGCATGTGCGTGTGGCAGTGGTGGCATGTGCGTGTGGCAGTGGTGGCATGTGCGTGTGGCAGTGGTGGCATGTGCGTGTGGCAGTGGTGGCATGTGCGTGTGGCAGTGGTGGCATTGTGCGTGTGGCAGTGGTGGCATGTGCGTGTGGCAGTGGTGGCATGTGCGGGTGGCAGTGGTGCATGTGCGTGTGGCAGTGGTGGCATGTGCGTGTGGCAGTGGTGGCATGTGCGTGTGGCAGTGGTGGCATGTGCGTGTGGCAGTGGTGGCATGTGCGTGTGGCAGTGGTGGCATGTGCGTGTGGCAGTGGTGGCATGTGCGTGTGGCAGTGGTGGCATGTGCGTGTGGCAGTGGTGGCATGTGCGTGTGGCAGTGGTGGCATGTGGCGTGTGGCAGTGGTGGCATGTGCGTGTGGCAGTGGTGGCATGTGCGTGTGGCAGTGGTGGCATGTGCGTGTGGCAGTGGTGGCATGTGCGTGTGGCAGTGGTGGCATGTGCGTGTGGCAGTGGTGCATGTGCGTGTGGCAGTGGTGGCATGTGCGTGTGGCAGTGGTGGCATGTGCGTGTGGCAGTGGTGGCATGTGCGTGTGGCAGTGGTGGCATGTGCGTGTGGCAGTGGTGGCATGTGCGTGTGGCAGTGGTGGCATGTGCGTGGGCAGTGGTGGCATGTGCGTGTGGCAGTGGTGGCATGTGCGTGTGGCAGTGGTGGCATGTGCGTGTGGCAGTGGTGGCATGTGCGTGTGGCCGTGGTGGCATGTTGCGTGTGGCAGTGGTGGCATGTGCGTGTGGCAGTGGTGGCATGTGCGTGTGGCAGTGGTGGGCATGTGCGTGTGGCAGTGGTGGCATGTGCGTGTGGCAGTGGTGGCATGTGCGTGTGGCAGTGGTGGCATGTGCGTGTGGCAGTGGTGGCATGTGCGTGTGGCAGTGGTGGCATGTGCGTGTGGCAGTGGTGGCATGTGCGTGTGGCAGTGGTGGCATGTGCGTGTGGCAGTGGTGGCATGTGCGTGTGGCAGTGGTGGCATGTGCGTGTGGCAGTGGTGGCATGTGCGTGTGGCAGTGGTGGCATGTGCGTGTGGCAGTGGTGGCATGTGCGTGTGGCAGTGGTGGCATGTGCGTGTGGCAGTGGTGGCATGTGCGTGTGGCAGTGGTGGCATGTGCGTGTGGCAGTGGTGGCATGTGCGTGTGGCAGTGGTGGCATGTGCGTGTGGCAGTGGTGGCATGTGCGTGTGGCAGTGGTGGCATGTGCGTGTGGCAGTGGTGGCATGTGCGTGTGGCAGTGGTGGCATGTGCGTGTGGCAGTGGTGGCATGTGCGTGTGGCAGTGGTGGCATGTGCGTGTGGCAGTGGTGGCATGTGCGTGTGGCAGTGGTGGCATGTGCGTGTGGCAGTGGTGGCATGTGCGTGTGGCAGTGGTGGCATGTGCGTGTGGCAGTGGTGGCATGTGCGTGTGGCAGTGGTGGCATGTGCGTGTGGCAGTGGTGGCATGTGCGTGTGGCAGTGGTGGCATGTGCGTGTGGCAGTGGTGGCATGTGCGTGTGGCAGTGGTGGCATGTGCGTGTGGCAGTGGTGGCATGTGCGTGTGGCAGTGGTGGCATGTGCGTGTGGCAGTGGTGGCATGTGCGTGTGGCAGTGGTGGCATGTGCGTGTGGCAGTGGTGGCATGTGCGTGTGGCAGTGGTGGCATGTGCGTGTGGCAGTGGTGGCATGTGCGTGTGGCAGTGGTGGCATGTGCGTGTGGCAGTGGTGGCATGTGCGTGTGGCAGTGGTGGCATGTGCGTGTGGCAGTGGTGGCATGTGCGTGTGGCAGTGGTGGCATGTGCGTGTGGCAGTGGTGGCATGTGCGTGTGGCAGTGGTGGCATGTGCGTGTGGCAGTGGTGGCATGTGCGTGTGGCAGTGGTGGCATGTGCGTGTGGCAGTGGTGGCATGTGCGTGTGGCAGTGGTGGCATGTGCGTGTGGCAGTGGTGGCATGTGCGTGTGGCAGTGGTGGCATGTGCGTGTGGCAGTGGTGGCATGTGCGTGTGGCAGTGGTGGCATGTGCGTGTGGCAGTGGTGGCATGTGCGTGTGGCAGTGGTGGCATGTGCGTGTGGCAGTGGTGGCATGTGCGTGTGGCAGTGGTGGCATGTGCGTGTGGCAGTGGTGGCATGTGCGTGTGGCAGTGGTGGCATGTGCGTGTGGCAGTGGTGGCATGTGCGTGTGGCAGTGGTGGCATGTGCGTGTGGCAGTGGTGGCATGTGCGTGTGGCAGTGGTGGCATGTGCGTGTGGCAGTGGTGGCATGTGCGTGTGGCAGTGGTGGCATGTGCGTGTGGCAGTGGTGGCATGTGCGTTGTGGCAGTGGTGGCATGTGCGTGTGGCAGTGGTGGCATGTGCGTGTGGCAGTGGTGGCATGTGCGTGTGGCAGTGGTGGCATGTGCGTGTGGCAGTGGTGGCATGTGCGTGTGGCAGTGGTGGCATGTGCGTGTGGCAGTGGTGGCATGTGCGTGTGGCAGTGGTGGCATGTGCGTGTGGCAGTGGTGGCATGTGCGTGTGGCAGTGGTGGCATGTGCGTGTGGCAGTGGTGGCATGTGCGTGTGGCAGTGGTGGCATGTGCGTGTGGCAGTGGTGGCATGTGCGTGTGGCAGTGGTGGCATGTGCGTGTGGCAGTGGTGGCATGTGCGTGTGGCAGTGGTGGCATGTGCGTGTGGCAGTGGTGGCAGGTGCGTGTGGCAGTGGTGGCATGTGCGTGTGGCAGTGGTGGCATGTGCGTGTGGCAGTGGTGGCATGTGCGTGTGGCAGTGGTGGCATGTGCGTGTGGCAGTGGTGGCATGTGCGTGTGGCAGTGGTGGCATGTGCGTGTGGCAGTGGTGGCATGTGCGTGTGGCAGTGGTGGCATGTGCGTGTGGCAGTGGTGCATGTGCGTGTGGCAGTGGTGGCATGTGCGTGTGGCAGTGGTGGCATGTGCGTGTGGCAGTGGTGGCATGTGCGTGTGGCAGTGGTGGCATGTGCGTGTGGCAGTGGTGGCATGTGCGTGTGGCAGTGGTGGCATGTGCGTGTGGCAGTGGTGGCATGTGCGTGTGGCAGTGGTGGCATGTGCGTGTGGCAGTGGTGGCATGTGCGTGTGGCAGTGGTGGCATGTGCGTGTGGCAGTGGTGGCATGTGCGTGTGGCAGTGGTGGCATGTGCGTGTGGCAGTGGTGGCATGTGCGTGTGGCAGTGGGTGGCATGTGCGTGTGGCAGTGGTGGCATGTGCGTGTGGCAGTGGCTGGCATGTGCGTGTGGCAGTGGTGGCATGTGCGTGTGGCAGTGGTGGCATGTGCGTGTGGCAGTGGTGGCATGTGCGTGTGGCAGTGGTGGCATGTGCGTGTGGCAGTGGTGGCATGTGCGTGTGGCAGTGGTGGCATGTGCGTTGTGGCAGTGGTGGCATGTGCGTGTGGCAGTGGTGCATGTGCGTGTGGCAGTGGTGGCATGTGCGTGTGGCAGTGGTGGCATGTGCGTGTGGCAGTGGTGGCATGTGCGTGTGGCAGTGGTGGCATGTGCGTGTGGCAGTGGTGGCATGTGCGTGTGGCAGTGGTGGCATGTGCGTGTGGCAGTGGTGGCATGTGCGTGTGGCAGTGGTGGCATGTGCGTGTGGCAGTGGTGGCATGTGCGTGTGGCAGTGGTGGCATGTGCGTGTGGCAGTGGTGGCATGTGCGTGTGGCAGTGGTGGCATGTGCGTGTGCAGTGTGGCATGTGCGTGTGGCAGTGGTGGCATGTGCGTGTGGCAGTGGTGGCATGTGCGTGTGGCAGTGGTGGCATGTGCGTGTGGCAGTGGTGGCATGTGCGTGTGGCAGTGGTGGCATGTGCGTGTGGCAGTGGTGGCATGTGCGTGTGGCAGTGGTGGCATGTGCGTGTGGCAGTGGTGGCATGTGCGTGTGGCAGTGGTGGCATGTGCGTGTGGCAGTGGTGGCATGTGCGTGTGGCAGTGGTGGCATGTGCGTGTGGCAGTGGTGGCATGTGCGTGTGGCAGTGGTGGCATGTGCGTGTGGCAGTGGTGGCATGTGCGTGTGGCAGTGGTGGCATGTGCGTGTGGCAGTGGTGGCATGTGCGTGTGGCAGTGGTGGCATGTGCGTGTGGCAGTGGTGGCATGTGCGTGTGGCAGTGGTGGCATGTGCGTGTGGCAGTGGTGGCATGTGCGTGTGGCAGTGGTGGCATGTGCGTGTGGCAGTGGTGGCATGTGCGTGTGGCAGTGGTGGCATGTGCGTGTGGCAGTGGTGGCATGTGCGTGTGGCAGTGGTGGCATGTGCGTGTGGCAGTGGTGGCATGTGCGTGTGGCAGTGGTGGCATGTGCGTGTGGCAGTGGTGGCATGTGCGTGTGGCAGTGGTGGCATGTGCGTGTGGCAGTGGTGGCATGTGCGTGTGGCAGTGGTGGCATGTGCGTGTGGCAGTGGTGGCATGTGCGTGTGGCAGTGGTGGCATGTGCGTGTGGCAGTGGTGGCATGTGCGTGTGGCAGTGGTGGCATGTGCGTGTGGCAGTGGTGGCATGTGCGTGTGGCAGTGGTGGCATGTGCGTGTGGCAGTGGTGGCATGTGCGTGTGGCAGTGGTGGCATGTGCGTGTGGCAGTGGTGGCATGTGCGTGTGGCAGTGGTGGCATGTGCGTGTGGCAGTGGTGGCATGTGCGTGTGGCAGTGGTGGCATGTGCGTGTGGCAGTGGTGGCATGTGCGTGTGGCAGTGGTGGCATGTGCGTGTGGCAGTGGTGGCATGTGCGTGTGGCAGTGGTGGCATGTGCGTGTGGCAGTGGTGGCATGTGCGTGTGGCAGTGGTGGCATGTGCGTGTGGCAGTGGTGGCATGTGCGTGTGGCAGTGGTGGCATGTGCGTGTGGCAGTGGTGGCATGTGCGTGTGGCAGTGGTGGCATGTGCGTGTGGCAGTGGTGGCATGTGCGTGTGGCAGTGGTGGCATGTGCGTGTGGCAGTGGTGGCATGTGCGTGTGGCAGTGGTGGCATGTGCGTGTGGCAGTGGTGGCATGTGCGTGTGGCAGTGGTGGCATGTGCGTGTGGCAGTGGTGGCATGTGCGTGTGGCAGTGGTGGCATGTGCGTGTGGCAGTGGTGGCATGTGCGTGTGGCAGTGGTGGCATGTGCGTGTGGCAGTGGTGGCATGTGCGTGTGGCAGTGGTGGCATGTGCGTGTGGCAGTGGTGCATGTGCGTGTGGGCAGTGGTGGCATGTGCGTGTGGCAGTGGTGGCATGTGCGTGTGGCAGTGGTGCATGTGCGTGTGGCAGTGGTGGCATGTGCGTGTGGCAGTGGTGGCATGTGCGTGTGGCAGTGGTGGCATGTGCGTGTGGCAGTGGTGGCATGTGCGTGTGGCAGTGGTGGCATGTGCGTGTGGCAGTGGTGGCATGTGCGTGTGGCAGTGGTGGCATGTGCGTGTGGCAGTGTTGGCATGTGCGTGTGGCAGTGGTGGCATGTGCGTGTGGGCAGTGGTGGCATGTGCGTGTGGCAGTGGTGGCATGTGCGTGTGGCAGTGGTGGCATGTGCGTGTGGCAGTGGTGGCATGTGCGTGTGGCAGTGGTGGCATGTGCGTGTGGCAGTGGTGGCATGTGCGTGTGGCAGTGGTGCATGTGCGTGTGGCAGTGGTGGCATGTGCGTGTGGCAGTGGTGGCATGTGCGTGTGGCAGTGGTGCATGTGCGTGTGGCAGTGGTGGCATGTGCGTGTGGCAGTGGTGGCATGTGCGTGTGGCAGTGGTGGCATGTGCGTGTGGCAGTGGTGGCATGTGCGTGTGGCAGTGGTGGCATGTGCGTGTGGCAGTGGTGGCATGTGCGTGTGGCAGTGGTGGCATGACAGGCATGCATGCAGCACGTGCTCTGCACACTGCACTCCGTTTCCTGTCCCCCCCTTCTCCACTTCTCGCCCTCCCATTCCCCCTCATTCCTCTCTCGCCCCATACCCCATGCCCCGTGCCCGTTGCCCTCGTACCTCGTTATGGCAGCGCGGGCGCGAGTGGAGACAGAGCAGAGGGCGGGCAAGGCGTGGGCGGTGCTGCAGCGGCAGCAGCAGTGGGGCGAGGGCGAGGGCGCAGGCAGCGTAGCGGGGGAGGCGGTGCGCGGCGGCACAGTGGTGACAGTGGGGGATGTGGAGGCCAACCTCACTGCCTCGCCCTCTGATGCCTGTATGCTGCTGCCTTGTCATGCATGCACATGTGCACACATGCACCCATGCACTCATGCACCCACCCATGCACCCACCCATGCACACCTGCACACATGCACACATGCACATCTGCACCCAAGCATACATGCCATGCACTGGTCGTGCGGCTCTACCTGCGTATTTGGCCTTGTGTGTTTCAGTCAGCCCCATCTGACATCCCTTGTCACATCTGACATCCCTTGTCACATCTGACATCCCTTGTCACATCTGACATCCCTTGTCACATCTGACATCCCTTGTCACATCTGACATCCCTTGTCACATGCCATGTTCTTCTCCCATCGTCATTCTTCCCTTCCCATACCCCCCTGCACCATGCTACCCCCGTGCCCACATGCCGCACCCCGCCCCCACCCCTGCCAGCGCATGTGGACTCCTTCCAGCGCCTGCTGCTCTACCTGCGTCCCCTCGCCTCCCTCTTCTCGCTGCCCCTCTCCGCCCTCCTCTCCCCCAACGCCACCCACCCACTCGCACCTCGCCTGCAGTCCCTCATTGACGCCACGTCAGCACGCCTACAAGCCGCCTCTGCCAGCCTGGCGGCGGCCCAGTCAGCGCTGGAGTTGTCTGAGCGGCAGCTGTGGGTGCGGTGTGGCGTGCAGGCAGGGGGCACGGCGTGGGAGGAGCGGCACGACGGCGAGCTGCAGCGGTACAGAGCGGTGGCGGGGGCAGCGTTTGACAAGTGGTGCGTGGCGTGGGAAGAGGCTCGCCCCTCTCACCGCCTCACTGCTGCCCTCACTGCCCCGCCTCACCTCTGGTGGCGCCGCGGCTTGTGGGAAGGCGAGCGAGGAGCAGCTGGGGCGGAGGGTGGTGCTGCAAGCGAGAGAGGAGGGGGGGTGAATGCAGGCAGTGCAGCAGGCGAGGGGGAAAGGGATGCGCCCGAGATCTCCTTTCTGCTACTGGCAGGTCCAGGAGCAGCCCAGCCTGCATCAGCAGAGCCAGTGGCGCCAGAGCAGGTGGTGCAGCGCCTTCATGCCTGCGCCTCCACACTGCCTCGCATGCGCCCAGCAGCAGCAGCAGCAACAACATCGCCCAACCCCACCCCTGATGCTGAAACTTCTCCTTCCACTCCTCGCATGGGCCCTCCCCTGGCGGAGCTGCTGCTGCTGCTGTCACCCGACAGCACCCACGCAGGGCAGCAGGGCGACGAGCAGGGCGAGGGGCAGCCAAGCGACGAACAATCGGGCGAGGGGCAGCAGGCAGGTGGGGTGGAGGCGTGGCAAGAGGCGGGTCGCAGCGTTGACCCGCAGCACATGCTCGTACTGCCGCTCGTGGCGCCGCATGCTCATGGTGCTGCCGTGCAGGTGAGCGGCGCAGAGGGTGGTGGCGGCGAGGCGGCGGAGGGCGGTGCGCGTGCAGCGGGGATGGTGCCGATGTCGGAGTGGGAGGGTTTTGACCTGCTGGCCCGCGCTGCCACTGGGCGCCTGCTGCTCCTGCTGACGTGGCGGGACCTGCCAGCTGTGATGCATGGGGAGGGCGAGGAGGGGTGCAAGTGGCTGGAGCAGCTGACTGCAGGGATGGCCGAGGATGGGCGCATGGGGGTGGTGGGCGTGCGGACAAGCAGAGTGGAGTGGGGCGTGGGGAAGGCAGAGGAGGGGAAGGGCAAGCAAGGAGAGTGGGAGAGAGGGGTGGGTGGTGGAGCAGTGCTGGCAGCAATGGCGCAGTGGGCTGCGGTGGGCATGGAGAGGGAGGGGGGGGGGTGTGAGTGAGAGTGCTGATGCAGGCAAGGAGACGGCAAGGGGCAAAGAGGAGGCAGGGAGGCGCCTCACTGGTTACGTGGATGGCACTCCCTTGCTTGTGCGCCGCCACGCCCTCATGACACTTGGCGGGCTGGGATTGGCTCCCGGAGCACCAGCTGCAGGCCCGGCAGCAGCAGTGGCGGGTTGGGCTCTGTGCACGCGCATGTGGCTGGCTGGATTCAAGGTGAGGGCAATGTGTGCTGTCAGGTGACACACTTTGGGGCCTTTTGGGTGAGACACCTGGGCGTTATGGTGAAGGAGCCATGGGCTTCAAAATGATGCAGCCATGTGCATTACCACATGCAGTTCAATCCAGGGTTTAGATGCTACCAGGGTTTCTTTCCTTCGTGCACCGCACACGCCTGTTCCTCAACTGCTCGTTTCTCTGCACAATACTCCCTCAACTGATATACTGCTCCCATCTGCTCCCGCCCCCCTCTTTTTGCCGTTTCCCCCTCACCTTTTTCCCTCCCTCCCGCCTTTCTTCCTCCTTGCTCCAAATAGGTTGCTCGCATCACATCGCACGCCTTGCAACCTTTTGCCACGAGGTCAAGCGATCCTCGGTTGTTGTTGGGCCATGCTCCCCATATAAGTCCACTCACGCTGGCTGCCTATTATGCACAGTTGAATAAGTTTCTACATAGTAGAACTGATGCTATACAAGCTAAAATGAGAGGCTAATATAGTGCAGACTGGTTGAACTGCAGTGAGGGCTTTTTTGTTTGTTTGCTTGTTGGTCTTTTTATATGTATATGAAAATTAGAGCAGTTTTTACTGTCAAACTATATGTTTGTGTTCTCTCTAGGCTATAGTGGGTTAGCCTACAAAGGGTACAACACTTTAGGGTTAGTACTTGTACCCAACTCATTCATAGTTCATTCATTCCTGCTTGCTGATTCTAACATGGTATTAGAGCATGATCGTTCCTAGGGCCCACCGAACGTTCCGCCCTGCCCTGCCCGTAATGTTTTCTTCCTACGCTGCCCTTGCAGCCCGCGCGCTGCCCCTGCGACCGCGCTGCCCCTGCAGCCATGCTCGCCCCTGCGACCGCGCTGCCCCTGCAGCCCGCGCTCGCCCCTACAGAGCGTGCTGCCCCTGCAGCCGCGCCTGCCCCTGCAGCCGCGCCTGCCCCTGCAGCCCGCGCGCTGCCCCTGCAGCTCGCGCGCCGCCCCTTGCAGAGCGCGCTGCCCCTGCAGCCGCGACTGCCCCTGCAGCCCACGCGTCGCCCCTGCAGCCCGCGTGTCGCCCCTGCAGCCCGTACGCGCTGCCCCTGCAGCCCGCGCGTCGCCCCTGCAGCCAGCGCGTCGCCCCTGCAGCCAGTGCGCGCTGCCCCTGAAGCCCGCGCGTCACCCCTGCAGCCCGCGCGCTGCCCCTGCAGCCCGCGCGTCACCCCTGCAGCCCGCGCGTCGCCCCTGCAGCCCGTGCGCGCTGCCCCTGCAGCCCGCGCGCCGCTCATGCAGCCCGCGAGCCGCCCCTGCAGCCCGCGCGCCGCCCAGCCCGAACCGCGCCGCCCAGGCCGAGCCGCGCCGCCCAGGCCGAGCCGCCCTGCCCAACCCGAGCCGCCCTGCTGCTACTACTGCTGCTGCTGCTGCTCGTTCTACTGCTGCTGCTGGTGGAGGTACTGCTGGGAGTGCTGAAGGTGCAGCCGCCCAGCCCCACCGAGCCGCCCTGCTGCTACTACTGCTGCTGCTGCTGCTCGTGCTACTGCTGCTGCTGGTGGAGGTGCTGCTGGGAGTGCTGGAGGTGCTGCTGGTGCTGGAGGTGCTGGAGGTGCTGGACCCACTACTGACCGTCACTGTCTGTCATGGCCACTATCGCGGCAGTTGCAGCGGCTAGGGGTGGACAGCAGCGGGTACTGCCTCTCCCGGACGACCCCACCCCTCAGCAGCTTCGTGAGTGGGTTTTTTCAGCGAGGCCGTCCTGGTGGTGGAGGTTTTGGTTTTATATGGCCTAAGCGACCTCGCGACTGTGCTTCTCAGCGATGCGTCCCTGGTTGTGTAGAGGTTGCTGCTCTCGGTTCTAGTGAGTCTGCTGCCACTCCAGGTGCTGGTGAGTCTGCTGCAGCTCTAGGTGCCCGTGAGTCTGCCGACGCTCTAGGTGCTAGTGCGTCTACTGCCACAGGTCCTGCCTCAGCTGAGGCCTTGCACACTTTCACGCTTGACTCAGGCGCGTCACGTTGCTTCTTTCGTGATTGCACCACAATCACACCACTCGCAGCACCTGTCCCAGTCTCACTGGCTGACCCCTCTGGGGGCCCAGTAGTTGCGCGAGCCTCCACTGTCCTCCCGTGTCCAGCAGTCCCCTCCGGTTCTCTGTCAGGTCTCCACCTCCCCACGTTCTCGACGAACTTGGTGAGCAACGCTGCCATTCAGGATGTCTGGGTTGATACCTTTATTCCTGGAGGGCAGCGTGTGGCGATCTGTACGTGCTCCCGGACTGGGCGTCACCTAGCTATGTTCACTCGACGGCCTGGGTCTAGTCTGTACACACTGACCACTGCGTCTGCACAGGTGGTTGAGTCAGGTCAGGTGGCTGCGTCGAGTCGGGTGTCTGCGTCTGGTCAGCTTGCAGCATCTTGCTCGTGTCGGGTACTCTCCCACCAGACTCTCCTATGGCACCACCGCCTCGGTCACCCCTCACTGCCGCGTCTCTGCAGCATGCACTCACGTCTCCTTGTCTCTGGTCTTCCCGAGTCCCTGCCCTCCCTCCCGCGCTCGCCAGCCCCACCGTGCCTTCCCTGCGTCGAGGGGCGGCAGCGCGCCGCTCCTCACTCCTCCGAGTTTCCTCCGACCACTGCTCCTCTGCAGACTCTCCACATGGACGTGTGGGGCCTGGCCCCCGTCGGTGGAACGGACCAGGAGCGCTAATTCCTGCTGGTGGTTGACGACTACACACGCTACACCACTGTCTTCCCCTTGCAGCGCAAGGCGGAAGTCAGCGGTGTTTTGATCCCCTGGATCCGTGCTACTCGTCACCAACTGTGCGAGCGGTTTCGTCGGGACTTGCCAGTCCTGCGTCTGCACTCTGACAGGGGCGGTGAGTTCTCTTCCGGCAACCTTGAGGGGTTCTGTCGAGATGAGGGCATCCGCCAAACGTTCACACTTCCGGCCTCTCCTCAGCAGAATGGGATTGCTGAGCGTCGCATTGGCTTAATCATGGAGGTTGCTCGTACCTCCATGATCCATGTGGCTGCTCCCCATTTTTTGTGGCCGTTTGCGGTCCGATACGCTGCGCATCAGCTCAACCTCTGGCCCCGTGTCTCTGAGCGAGAGACCTCGCCCACACTCCGGTGGACGGGGAAGGTTGGCGATGCGTCGGTGTTTCGGGTCTGGGGCGCGCTCTCCCTTGTTCGCGATGCCAAAGCGAGCAAGCTCTCCTCTCGCACTCTCCGCTGCGTCTTCCTTGGCTTCCCCACCGACGCCCCGCCGTGGCAGTTCTACTACCCGCGCGAGCGTCGAGTCTTCTCCTCCCAGGACGTCACCTTTGACGAGTCTGTTTATTTCTACAGACTACACCCGCACGCGTCCCACCCGGTCCCCCTCGCGCCTCTCTTCCTGGTACCAGTCCCCCCCCCCGGTAGACCCACTCCCCCCACAGGGTCCTGCTCCCTCAGGTGTGTCTCAGGTAGACCCACCCCCCTTGGATGAGCCAGTGGAGATCTCTTCTGACTCCTCTGGCCCAGCTGAGGGGGGTGACCCCGCCGCAGACGACACGGTGGCCACTCGCCGCTCTACACGCTTGGCGACCCCCCCTGGTTTTCTGCCTCGGCCGTCTTCGCCGCCTCCGCAGCCTGCTGCTGTGGACTCTGGAGCTGAGACTGCTGGTGCTGAGCCTGGGGGTGCTGAGCTTGTGGGTGCCCGCTCTCCACGCTTGAAGACCCCTCCTGGTTTTTCGCCTCGGCCGTCTTCGCCGACTCCGCAGCCTGCTGCTGTGGACCCTGGAGCTGAGACTGCTGGTGCTGAGCCTGGGGATGCTGAGCTTGAGGGTGAGGGTTCTCGGGGTGCTGCGACTGAGGGTGCTGGTTCTGGGGGTGCTGCGACTGGGGGTGCTGACTCTGGGGGTGCTGCGAGTCCTAGTGGCGGTGGAGCTGTGGGTGACCCTGCTGGAGGTCCTGGAGCTGGACAGCCACCGCAGCCTGATCTACTTGCGACGCTCTCGCCGCAGGAGATTCGTGCGTGGATCGTTCGGCGAGGCAGTCTTGGTGGTGGAGGGTACAGTCCTGCTGGTGCTGGAGCTGCTAGTCCTGGAGGTGCCGGAGCTACTAGTCCTGGAGGTACTGGAGGTGCTGCTGGTGCTGGGGGTGCTGGAGCTGCTATTCCTGGAGGTACTGGAGGTGCTACTGGTGCTGGAGGTACTGGAGCTGCTAGTGCTGGAGGTACTGGAGCTGCTAGTGCTGGAGGTACTGGAGGTGCTGCTGGTGCTGGAGGTGCTGTTGGCGCTGGAGGTGCTGGAGCTGCTAGTCCTGGAGGTACTGGAGGTGCTGCTGGTGCTGAAGGTGCTGGAGCTGCTAGTGCTGGAGGTGCTGGAGGTGCTGTTAGTGCTGGAGGTACTGGAGGTACTGCTAGTGCTGGAGGTGCTGGAGGTGCTAGTGCTGGAGGTACTGGAGTTGCTGCTGGTGCTGGAGTTGCTGCTGGTGCTGGAGCTGCAAGTCATGGAGTTCCTGCTGGAGGTACTGGAGGTACTGCTGGAGGTGCTGGAGCTGCTAGTGCTGGAGGTGCTGCTGGCGCTGGAGGTGCTGGAGCTGCTAGTGCTGGAGGTACTGGAGGTACTGCTGGTGCTGGAGGTGCTGGAGCTGCTGGTGCTGGGGGTACTGGAGGTGCTGCTAGTGCTGGAGGTGCTGCAGGTGCTCGAGGTGCTGCTGGTGCTGGAGTTGCTGCTGGCGCTGGAGGTGCTGGACCTACTGGTGCGCTTGGCCACCTCCTTGGTCTTCCGCCAGCTCCGACTGAGTTCCCTGTCGCTGGTACTACTCC